GAACACTCGATTGACTCTTTTTGTCGTTTTTTAAACTGCAGCTGTCTTTTAGCGCTTGCTTCCTATCTGTTACATCTTGGGTCTACCAACTTGGGCCTAAACCGTGAGGTACTACTACGACGACCAGGAACTAGCCCACAAAGTAACACGCCGAAACCCGTAAAGAACAGGCTTAAGCGCTCCATTTACTAAATGTTCAAAACAAATTGTAACGCTGCGCTCACATACCATACAGGATACCAACTTGAGAAGTGCCGGAACTGCATTACTCAACACGCATTGCCTAGTCCAGTGCAGCCTCTCAACCATCAGTTTTTAAAGCATCAAGCATCTGCTCCACGTAGCTGCTACTTGTTGTTGTTGCTGCTGTTAGCGACGTCATCCGTGGCCGTCCATACGCACGTAAATGTAGACCGTACTGTACCAGCGTCGCATACAAGTGCAGTCGCTGTGATTCCACCAAACTGTAACTTAGCATAACCTGTGTTATGGTCGGCTTTTGCACGTACCAGCATAGAATAGCGCGCTTTTTCTTATTTGAAACGACGCCTTGCGGCAACTACCTTTACAGTGAGGAGCAGCTTCCCTCTGTGCATTGGTAAAGGGGCATTTCAAAAGGCTTCTGTTATATATATATATTCCGGTCTTTTGTACATATGCAGAACTCCGGTCCAACCGACAAGCCAGCCAGCCCTTTTTGTTTACGTTGTCGGTATATTCTTTTTCATTCCAGGCTATTGCAATATCTCTTTTTTGCCTATTCTTTTTCGACCCCTAGAAATTTTGCGGGGAATTGTATTGTCTTTCATGCGGTAAAGACAAGAGAAAAGTAGGAACCAAACATTGCAAAGCTTCAGTAACGCGAAGCCATGCTTTTCCGTCCCGACCCTTGTTTCGGGGCTGTGTTTCTGTGGCTATACCAGATGTCTTCAGCAGTAGAGTGTCGCTGACATGAGGACCGCTGTCGCTTACGCAACTATCAACTGCTGCTTTTCGTCCTCCCCTTTACCATATCGCACCTTTCTCCAATCGCCTGCGTAGTCAAGCCTCCCATCTTGTTAGTGTTCCCTGTGTTGTTATGGTTGCCTAGATTCTGATAGAGCCTAGCCTTCTTGTCCTACGCCTGTTGCTGTGGGCACAGTAACAACGTACGCTCCACGTCGCATGCACAAATTAACACAATAATGAAGTTCGCTGTGAGCGGCCATTGAAGCAAAAGGCACACGCATACGCCAATAGGAAGGCAGTCAGCCAATCGAGCAAGCAGCTCGGTTCAGACAGTTTGTTTAACAGTATCAATAACGAAAGAAAGCAATGTAGGAAGAAAGTATTGCAACAACACTTGGTACTAAGAGTAGGATAATGTAGGACAAAAGGCTCGTTGCAAGCCGCAGTAACACACGCGATGTTAAGATAGCATGATCGTGATCATGTGTGCAATGACAACGAACCGAACAATGACGACGACAGAATGACGGCCGCTACGGATCCTAGAAAAGCGGGCATAGGTGAACTCACTGGGGGATGTCTTACTGGGGAAAAATTGGTAGCTGTAGAAAGAAGGCGGAGCTGCACGTTTTGTATTCACCGCCACTCGCTCCTGCTGCAAAGATCTCGAACCTGCCTTGGTTGTGTCGCCAGCTGTCGCGGGGCCGGGGTTAGTTCCCAGTGTCTTGGTGCTCCTGTGGTTGATTTGGTTATTGAAGCCACTAGGGTAGTCGACGCGAACACCTTTACAGTTCTCATAGCGTTCGAGTCTAGGCAATCTCCAGTCGCACCATATGCTACATTCAAAGGCTTTTATATGCAGACCGTGTTATATCACAGGCATATATACGGAATAACAGCAGTAGAGCTACTCTAGCACTCCTACCCAAAGAAAACGTAAGAACAATTCATCCTTAAGATATGTCATAGGATAGAGTGCATTTAGAGCAGTGGCCACCGCTGCCACAAACACAGACTTCGTTTGCCCGTGTCAGCACAAAGGTCTGCAGCCTAAATACCACATGAGTGCTGGTTTACCTGATACGCCATCCTACCCCATTCTGTAGCGGACTTCACGGTGGCTGGGCAACCGATCACTGTCTTTCAGGTCCTAACAGAGCAATGGGTAAAGAAGACTACGGCACGAGGACCTCGCTGGTCTCGTTCGCCTCGTCTATCTACCGACAAACATATTATCACCATTCGTGTTTTGCTTAGTGCCTGTTGTCCGCCTGCCTTTCTGCTGCCTGGTTTGCGTTCTCCCAATGATAGGGGCCCTGTGTGAGCTCTCTTTGCCATTCCGCCCTTCTTGCTGAATACGGCCCCCGATCAAGGTTCTTGCAGGTACTCAGTCGGTAGTACTTTTGCTGACTCGGTGGGTTGCTGTTGCTTCGGCTGTAGGCGCTGGATGTCCCAAAGGGATGCCAGCTGTGTGCAACCCGACTGCCATCGTATCGTTCAACACGGTTACAACTAGTATCCGCATCCAACTGATAGTTTGTACGTTTCTGAAATGGGCTACAATATCGGCAACGGTAGAAACAGCAAAAGTGGGCGGTTGTCGACCGCATGAAACGTACACCCGATGTCGTTTGTTACTTTTATCCGTTGCCCCGCAGTTTTCCAAGACGTTGCTGTTCAATCATTTGGGCCCGGTTGGGCTTTCGGCATAGCTTCGTACGCAAAGGAGCTTACTCCATCCAACCAGCCTCGGTAGGCAATGCTCGCGAACAGTCTGAGTGTACGAATAACGGAATCGTCATTCCGGTACTGAGACGTGGCTGGTCGTGCTGTTTATGTACGACAACCTATCGGATAGGTTGCTCTCTTACTGCCTTACTGCTCTGGTGCATTTTGACAGTGCTTTCATAGTCGTTCTGACGCTCAAGAAGGCAGTCGAAAGGTTTGTAGCGTGGACGAAGTAGCGTTGCAAAGCAACACCGTAGCCATCAGAGAGCTGCGGTGAGAAGGACCCATGCATACGGACTGACCCGTCCACGAACCCGTAACGGTATAGTACTGATTGTCGGCTGTTGTCCCCTAACTCAAATCCTTCGCTTCTCAGCTCCTTGCCAGCTTTCTACTTATGTTGCCGAACGCTAAGCAGATACAAATCTGCCCAATCCGACAAACTGCATCGGACTGAGATCATACAAAATAAGGGCCCATTATTTACCCGCCACTGAAGAGCTATCTGCCTATCTCTTTTTCTCTCACCCTCCTACACCTCTCTCTCTCTCTCTCTCTGACACTCTGTATCCCTTTCTCCTCTACCCTTTTGCTAGTGCAAGGGTTATTCGGTTCCGAATGCATCTGCAGCTCCAGCCTTTAACATCCGTTCCGGAATGTGGTAGTCAGATGAGGTCGCTTCTCACAGAGCGAACAAGCAAGCAAGAGCCAAGCTGAATGAGGGACATTGTGAGTGGTAAAAGCGGCAGTAGCAGTAGACTTGGCCATTGACGCTGTCCATCGGAAAGATAAAACGAAAAGTTCTATTATGATATTCTCTATACAGAGCTAGTCACGGTGCTCTTCCCGTGGCAGGGAGAAGAACGGCTGTTACTTCGGCTGTTTCAGCTGCTACTATTACGGCTACTACCACTGACAGGGCTGTTGGATCAAGTCAACGCCTGCGGCTTTCGATACACGCGTTTCCGGTGTCTATGGAGGGACCAGTCGGTCACCACTATGTACTGGGCACGCTGCGGCACGATGGCTGCAGGGAATAGAAGAAATCACGTGCGATGCAGATGGTAAGAGACGAGGAAGCGTGCAGCGTGCAGGAAGGACCAAACGAATTGTGGAGTTACCGATCCTTCGGGGGTAAGGGAACAGAAAAGCCATGAATTAGTACACGATTAGTCGAGCTTAGAGCCAGCCGTGATCGTTATTTTAGAATGCCAGTAACGTCCCCGCTTGCAACAGCTGTCGTACAGAGCCTGGAGAGCGTCAGACTTGGGTTTCTTTTTGTTGTGATGTCCTATTCGTGGTCGTTCTTGTATTCGTTGCTGTATCATAGTTCAAAGCGTATTGCCATGACAAGATGAAGCAACTGCGTTAGTGGCTTGCCAGCTTGGGTTGGCTGTCCTCTCCCTCTCTAGTACTGCCTTGCTTCGATTCAATAGCATCCATAGAAACTTGGCCCTACCGTGTCCTTAGAACCAACTGCAGGAAAATCGAGCAGACCAGCATTCGGTTTGCCGATGACAATTGCCCTCGGTGATATTACAATTACCTTTAGTAGAAATTAACTGCATTGCATCCACGATACAGCCACATAGAAACTACTTGTAAACCAGGCCCCAAGCACACTTTACAAAGAACGAGTAAAGGGATATGGACCCCATGGCAATTGGACGGCGTAATTGGAAGGCGCCTTCACAGTGATGTCCCCCTTGGGGCGCCCGAAGTGTGTGACTGTTTGTCATACCGCTATAACATCTAATGACCTGTAGCTCTTCGCAAGTATAGGGGCAGCAGGTACAGTTCTCGTGAGAATGCGATCAATCTCTATAAAATTGAGACCCGTACATCTTGTTAAACAAGCAATGTGGTTGCGCAAAGCGTACTTAGCGAACGACCGCGAACTATGTAATATGCTAAGAGTAATATTTAATAGTATAACATTGTTGCTTTCACTGAAGAAGATCGACTTACGGTCCCGTGTGCTTCAAGGTATTTGGCGCACGTTTAGAATGAATGATCTTTCCCTATGCGCTGCTTTTCTGTCTGTTCAGCGTGTTTGCATCTAAAACACATGCATCTTGCGTATGCTGTGACATATGATAATTCAAATGCTCATCTCACAGTTATTAGGATAATCTCACTTTCAAAGCTTCTGCTCTCCACAATTTTTACAAGATAACCATTTTTCTTTTCAACTGCTGGTCTAGTACAACCAGTGCGAGCTAGACTTAGCTAGAAAAACGAGCATTAACTAGAATGTTTTTTTGAGGATAAGTTTATTTATTACATGCAGTATGCGCATGACTCCACTTAATAAGCAGCTTCAACACCAGCTCATTTAAGCACATCTTAGGCCGAAGGGAAATTCTTAAGAAAGCACTCGACTCCCCACTGTCTACAGGGAACAGGTTGGCTGAAATAGTTTCCCATGGGCCACAGTCTGATGCCGACAATCTTATACGAGCAGGCTTGTAATCTGAAATAACGACATGGGAGAGACAGCGTAAGATACCGCCTATCTAGGAAGAGTTAGTATATCTTCCATTCGCACCTCACCACTATCTGTTCGTTTAGTAACGTCAAGAAACTGAAATAGTCAACTGGCTAGATATGTATCACGAAGGCTAATCACAGATTACGGAGAGTTGACATGCTTCGTCGCAAATTTCAGTGACTAGCGTGATAAGTGTTGCGGATTTAACGTAACTTAGTAGTCAAGTTTTTTTTATTTAAATGCAACGCAAGCATGTCTTGTACGCTGGTAGATATTTATATGATGTGTCAACTAAGTAATTTATACGTTTGATAGTGTTTATTGTGTAACTAGATCGTCATCGATGTTCAAGGTCTATTAGACTATTATCAAGCAACTATACAATATAGCGGTATCTAGGCGCCTAAACTACTGCGAAAAATGTTTACAAAAGGGAATTCAATGGTATTGGTGAAACCTTGCCGTTAAAAAAGTTACACGCCCTTACTCGGTCTAGCTTTTGTATGCCGGCAAGACAATGCCTCTCTAAAATTCGTTACATGCGTCGAACTTTACCCATACACGTGTCCAGAAGCCGTTACAGTCAGTATATTCTGTACACAATTGTCCCGCTACGACTACTATTACTACTACAGTCAAAAACTAACGATCGCCGGTACCCATCGGGGAGTTTGTCCCGATCTGGTTGGCTGTGTTGGCAGATCCTAGCCAGAGGCTTCGCTTGCACCCCTCAGAAAAAATAAGAAGAAAGTTAAGCCAGTTTTTGTACTGCGGCGTCTTGTTTTTCCTTCGAGTTTCCCGTTTCCTCCTGAATCAATCCCCAATCCCCTGTTGCATCTACACTTTACCCCTGAGGGGTCGTGGTGTCACCACCAAGCGCCTAGTGTTGCCGATCGATGGCTACCTATTTCCACAACCGGAAATCTTTGCGTACATCCAAGTGCGCCGATCTGTGCCACTGTCAGCATGCCCGTCGGGGGTACGCGTGCTGCTTGCTGGCTGTATGCTGCTATCAGCAGCGGAGAGCTAGCCCTTGAAAAAAGAGCGAGTAGAGGAGTAGGAGATAAGCAAGAGAAAAAATTGAAATTCCGTCTGGTCCACTGCTCACCACTGGCAGCTTCTTCTCTGCGAAAGCAGACTACAGTAACTACGATTGCGACGCACTGATTGGCGAAAGCTGCCAACGGTCCAAAAGCGACGTTGTCGGCGACGAATGGTAGTGATGCTGCGGCTTGTACTGATCCAGAAACTGAGTTTGCCTTCGACAGGACAACTACAAAGCAAAGAAAGAAAGAGAAAGCTAACCATAAAGTTTATTCCCGTCTTGTTAAATACGGGCGGGGTTCGCCAGTAGGGCTAGCTAAAACGGGGAACTGTAGCACGTGTCTGTTGATTATAAGTTGAGCTGTGAAGAGGTATGTATATTCACAATGGCAAGATTATTGACGTAACAATATTTCAATTCTAAGTTATTCTTGCAATTGTCGTATTTAGGTATTACTTGTCCTAACAACATCGTGATAAAATGCGATACGTCGTTGGAAAATCAATGGACTACTAAGTAAGTTATATATTCGCATCCAGTAGATCAATAAACAGTGATTATATGCACAGGCTTCAGGGACGTTTGTAGATATAACAGTTTATACATTCGGCATGATGTGTTGATGACCCGTATTGAACTTACCTACGGCTATAAGAGCAAATATTTTATAGGAAAAAGATAAGTAAAACTGTAAATCATACGTGTTGCTTGACACATACGTAGATACATAGATATGCGCTCTGCTAAGGGTCAAGTGGCATTAATACGCGAAAGGCGTTGTTCCCTTTTATATTCTAACTAAACTGTACCTCAAGTTAAATCTTAGAGCGTTTTCTTTTTAGCACTTCGGCGCAGTATTTCAAACAATTGTTCACTATAAAAATCCGCACAAATTATGTTTCGAGCAGTGATCAGTATGAAATTCATGTTCGACATTCTGTGAGCGTTAAAAAGATCTACGTACGAAGATTACTTCAAACGAACCTGCTTGCTTGTTTGTCTTTTGCGTGCGAAGAATCCAGACTGATATGCAGGGCATTAGTTGGAAATCTCTGACATGGAGCGAGAAGTATGTAGGTAGCCGCCACTCATCTCAACGCACAAATTCGGGGTGCTGCTGAGCTACCTATATAAATAATCCTCGTTAGATTATCTCATGATCATTTATGTAATACCACTACTCTCTGGTTTTTATTCATTGATTGCATCTCGAGGAAGTATACTATCACACTTACAACAGCTTCATGACTCTAAGCAAGGGTCATGGGTTGATCAAGCATTCATTTGTTGTGGTTCTAGTCTTTACTACCATCTACGCCGTATGGCGCAGTATTCAAACAGGGAACTGCCAGCTTCCGAAGCAAGGAACTCTGAGTTTGTCGAACGAATTTCAAACCAGTAAACTATCATTGTTGTTCTTGTTATCGTTGTTATCAATCGTACCTGAAAACGTTTTTATTTCTACCTTTGACGTATTTAGCGAGTAGCGGCTGGCGTCGCTGTTGCTGTTAAACTTCTGTTCCGGTAGCGGCGTTTCCGTACCGCATAATTGCATAGCGGATGCTTCACGGAAAACGGAGTATCCTGGGGTCTTTGGCCCAGTCTTCGTCATCGGCTTCCTCTTTCTAGCCGCAGGTGATCCAAGGTGGCTCCCCGCATGAAGCACACCCCAGCGACGCGTTATTGCCTTATGTCAACTCGCATGAAACTCGATCTCAATGCTGCTGCTGCATGGGGTCTGCTCTGTTCTATTCATCCACCTCATACCGGAATTATTCGACCGAGGACTAAAGAGGTATTCATAGAGGAAGGTCATGTTTATACGCTGAAGGCTTTTCCTTCGAATGCTTCACGTCCTATCAAACGTCGCATCCCCCATTGGAACCACATTATATCTAAATGGTAACTATTAACCTTTTGTAGATATACTAAATACACTATATTCTAATCATTTTTTCGATCTTGTATTCTAGAACTCTTCGCGGTGACTGAAGGATAACTTACTAGCTGTAACAGGTAACTATTAACATAAACCGCTGTGAGGTTGACTTGATGCGAACGATATTACTGACAGTATCTGATGGCCGATATACACTCACAAATAAAATGGACATATTTACATAGTAGTACTTATAAGAGATACAGTCTAAGCTACCTGTGCAATATGATGAATCACTTCTATTTCTGGTCGTAAGAGGGCGTAATCTATTCTTGACTGTTAAGCTAAAAGTTTTCCAAACAGAGCACGCCTATCACACCTACAGGCGTATACAGGCGTGATTGCCCCAGGTCTACAGGTATGACTAAGTAAAGGAACAAGCACACATGATGGATGTTAGCATTTTGGTACGCTTCAGGTACATTTCACTATCTGAAGTCTGTCAAACCTCAATAGGACCACAGCGTTTCTGCCTAGCACTGCTGTTACGAAATATAAACATCTACAGGCGATCTTTACATGAATATTGGGTTGATTTCACAGTACCTCAGCATTTTCTTCCTACAAATTGTATACTATTCCATTGCGAATTCTTGATATTCAAAACACATAGCTCAGTATATCCTATCTAGTAGTAGCTATAAATAGGCTGAAAGCTTACTCACCCCTCCCGTAACCTTTTTTTTTTATCGATTCTTTGTGTCCCACTTTTTCGCCTTTCATTAGGAGCAAGGGGTAGCAGTACGCCTCGGGTCAACGTTTTTCATGGAGTGATCCTTTTCTCTAAAACGTGTATAAATCAGCTCACGGCAAGACTGCCTGTTGGCTATTGAGATTAACCAGAGTTCGACGATGCTACTACTCACAGCGTTAAACGTCAACACCGCCAAGTTTGAGCCTGACGCGGTCTTCGTTGTCGATGAAGAATCTTACTATCAAGAAAGCTTTCTCGTGAAGTAGCACCAACATCAGTGCGCTAACGGTGGCCGCACAAGGTGCTAGGAGCAGGCAGAGAAAGAAACTAGTAGAAACTGCTGGATCCTCTTCAACCAGTCTTTTCTGCCTGCGCGATGCCGCTCGGTGAATTTCAACAAGGGCTATCGATCGCACAACTTTTCCAGGCTGCCTGGCAATGTTCGCCGTTCACACTGCTGCTTCTCCTGCCGGCTGCTGCCGACGTTGTTCTTCCTGCTTCGGCTGCCGCAGGCTTTGAGAAAGAGGGAGACTACCTCAAGCTGCCTTTTCTGGCTGGGACAGGCGGGCTGCTACCAAGTGAGAGAAAGACCGTGCCACGTCCTAAGATAGGACCAATCCCTGGCGGCAGGCCTCCGTGAGTCGCATTGCTTATAAGCCGCATCATTGACGACTTTTTGGTTCTTGCTGCTAGTGTCGATGATAGCAAAGTGGATGGTCAAGCGATATCTGAAGGTTGCCCTACAAAGACTATTCGCTAGAGCATCAAAGTCCAGGTCATGTTCATTTGTCTCACGTTATAGATGAATAACATTGAAAATAGCTAGCGACAAAGGAAAAACAAATTTACAATCCAGTCCCGTATATGAGAGCGTTATAGCGAAATTTAATCGTACTGAATACGTTAAGCGTAGCATACATTGGATACGCTTCTTGGACGGGAATTCCATTGTTAATAAATATTTAGTGTTTAAATAGACTTTGTGTATCTTTAAACCGTATAATTAGATGTGCTTGATCAGTTACAAGCGGGATGCTAAGCGACAGAGAACAATTGTCGCGACAAAAACTCGCGCAGCGTGGCCTCGCCGAGAATGAGACCCATCAAATAGTTGCGTATCTTATCTAACAGTACAACGATGATCTTCACAAGTCCAACCACTCAGCCGTTGTGAGTGCACGAATCTTACAGCTTGACTGCACACGGGGCCACATCATAGTTCTAGCGTATTCCAAAGAATCCTATGGCTGTAGATGAGGCGATATGCTAGACGACTGACTCATCTTCTAAGGAATCGACGACAACTGGGTGGTGTGTGAAGCAAAGTGTATGCCAACAAGGAGGCCAGGAAATAAGAGTTGCCTCTGGCAACGATGCTATCGACCCCCCGACAGCAAATACTCGGTCTTATAGCACTACACAAAAACCTTTGCCATTGCCAGCTAGGCGGGTGGTCGATCGGCAGGCCGGCTTATTTTGTCAATGGTTCGGCAATGCAATGCCGCCTTCGCACGTCTCCGAAGATTCTTTCACAATACTGTCTTCGCCTCTGTACGGATCTTCGACAGTCTCTCCTTCTAATAACAGCCTGCACGGTTACTTGAGTACGACGTCGTTCTAGCTGGATTTGGTTAGCATGCAGTGAATTGCAGTTCATGTGCGCCACGACACTATAGATTACTTCATTGGACATTAGGCTGGTTATGAATAGGTAGTCCAATAGCAGGAAGGGAAGTTTTTCCGGCGGCGATTGCTCTTGTTGGTTACTGTTACAAGCTAGGACAGTGTGCTTCCCGAAACCGAACGGCGACTCTTGATCCTGCCTGTCTGTTGACTAGAAAACAGGACGAGGGGGTGCAGGATGTTTCAGGATTAGACGCTCTAGAGCGGCCTGTAGCCTCTATCGTAGAACCGAGTCAACCAGGACACGAATAGCTCCTTAAGTATGAAGCGGGTCATGGCGTACCATGCTGCAGGGTGCTGGGTCTGCAAGCCGATCAGACAGTCTGCTCGCACGGTTCAGGCAGCAGCAGCGGCCTACCACTGTCAAGTATATTTTGCTCGGCAGTTTCGGACGGTTGGCGGCGGACGTAGCGCCGAGAGCGAAAAGGCCATTGTTTATAAGTGATAACTGCACTCTGACCATTAAAGAGGCTTAGCGACGAGTGAAGCTTCTTAAGTGTTTGCTTAGCCTTTGGCCTGCGAACTTGCTTGATAGTGCCTGCGTGCTGCAAACTCAACCTGACGGTTGGTGAAGCCGGCGACGGCGCTTATAGAAGTATACTGTAGTCTAGTGAGCTTGGGGTCATTAGGCTAATGGTGCTTGTTCAGTCCGTTTTCTTGGTATTCTCCTTTCTACGTCTGTGACGTGTCTATGTGGGCGTGTGTGTGTATGCATGTGTATTCTGACTACACAAGCTACTCACTAGTGCAGGTAGACTGTGCTTAGGACACCTCACCGCCCTCACTTTCGGCACTGAAATAATACGTCTTTAGAAGAAAAGACCAATTCTAGTAAGACCCTGCTGTCCTGCGCTAGCAAAGAATAATAGACAGACGATGAAACGTTAGCAGGCTTAGGGTTTGTAACGCCTCAGATAGGAACGCGCGAAAGTCTAATCAGTAGTTGCGGACATTTTCGGCATCTTGTTGCTGTGGTGTCAATAGCACATTGAAAAGGAGAAGCATGGGAACTTGCTTCAACTGGACTGCACAAACAGCGAAATGACGAAAGGCCGCCGCCCGAACAGTGGCTGCCTAGCGGTATGAAGGACCGACCGGTCTCTTCTCTGTTCCCGTCTCTCTCTTTCTTTACTGCTTCAATTGCTGGCTTCAGGTATTACTCCAATTGAATAAAGCAGCACTCTTTCTTAGGATACCATATATTCTATATACTGTTCATTGGCACCCGAGAGGTAAACACAATGAAGCACAGAGGAAATCGAAGCAACGATTTGGGCCGATTTACCTTCACTTGGCGTTAAATTAATCTATTTTTTCTTTAATATCTCCATCTGGAATGTATGTCAGCTTCTTTATCGTCGACCAACCTTTTTCGCCCACTCTACGTCGGATGTAACCTTTCAGCCTTTCAAACCTATCAGCAAGCTGCGGTTTATAGAAGAAATCTAAACTACTGAATACGCCATTGAAAGTGTTATATTATAGATACGAAGCAGAATTGCTTTATTGAGCGGTGATCCCAATACTGGCTTTGAAGCCTGCTTACGGTAGCATCGTTGTGTCACTGTTTTGGTCCATTTTTTGTCTCCTGCATCAAAGTCGTCTAAGGCCTGTGAACAGTCTCGGTTGTAGTAGCACAGAGTAATAGTAAGTACCTAGTCACTGCGTGAAATAGCAGCTCATATAGGGGAGCTGTCACGTTTCTTTGCTTCCTTGCTTATTCTCTCTCGTCCTACTGATGTAACGCTCGTTTTGGCTAGGTTGAAACCGACCGGTCGGCATTCGGGCCGCCCTTGGTTCAGCTGATGTCACTTTCGTCCGTGCTTGTGATGTTCGGCCTGTGCCCCTCGCTGCATGATGTGGCGGGGGTAGCGGTTGCCTTTCTTTGTGGTGTGAGAAAATTCACCAGGCAGCAGGACCAGGACCCAGACAAGTAGTGTATCAAGGGCATGGGATGCGACCTCTCAGAACCGGCCGTCCCGCCTCTCCCCACTTTGGCCCCTTTTGGCCTTCACTTCGTTTGTCGGCTTGCCGACAAGCCCGCCGGTGTCAAGCTGCCACTCCGCGACTGGGGATCCCGCTTGATCCCGCGGCGGCCCTGCTCTCTTGGTTTCTTGCAGGCCTTTGGATCCCGCAGTGTGATATATCGATGAGGGATTTACTTTGATTCTCACTGCCACTTCGCCGGCCAGCCAGCGGCAAAAAGACATAGGACGCAGATAAATAATACCCTCCCCAAGCCCTTCTCAGGGCAGCCCCCCCCCCCCGCATCGGGACACGCTTTGGCCTCGGCTTGCTGCTGCTACTTTTATGGGCCCTCTCAAGGCAACGCTATACTTGCAGGCAGTCCTGGTAACACGGAGACCGATGGCAGCGATGCGAGTGATGCCGCAGTAAAACTGATCCAAGTTGACTGAGGCTCATTTACGGACACACATTTACAGTTTGTCTGAGCGTGTTTATGTGTGTTTCTACTAACCATCACTTCCAGCCTTACAAAAGCGACAAGCGTTGTTGCCAGTTCGTCAAACACATTTATGCGGCGATGGTCAATTGTATTCGCTGCTTCCATATGATAACGGGGTAAACAACAGATATGATATAACGTGCACAGAAAAATATATCGATTTGTCGGCTGCTCGTGGAAAAAGTCTACGTTAAATAAATTGTGAGTTCCTTAGACAGTCAGACCGACACGTAGTCTCAGGGACCGCCGAAGCGTTTACATGTCATCTTGACGTAATCGGTAAGATGAGTAAGGCGCATCCCCAAGGGCACCGAGAGCCGATAGGTTAGTCGGCTAGTCAAGGTAGCAATACCGAATCGTAATAGCAGTAGCGAAAAAGGACGACGAGTCACAGCAAGTCACCTATAGGAAAGCTCATCGGCCGTTCTTGCTAAGAACGAAGCTCGAGCGGTGCCCACAGCAAAAGACCACGACGGTTACAACGCCAAAAGAATCCTGGTGGAGGTGGGACGAACTAAGGCCAAATATAGGCCCGAGATGACTAGCAGGGGTGATTTGGTCCAAACTGTGGGGCAAGCGGTACAGCAGACAGGCGGATGGCTACGTGGATAACATCTCAAGATGGAAATAGAAAAGAGATCAATATGTCAGCCTAATTCTACGTTTTGATCAAAGCTCACTAGCGATTTGCCTTCAGCAGGGGAAACGCTGTCGTACCAAGAATAGCAACGGAATTCTTCGCAGAGAAGCGAAGAATGGTTACGTCGAAAAAGCGCGCCTAGGTTAGAAGTGCACCCCTTCCTATGCCCCGTCTCGTCCTACCTTGCCGGACCTTCTAACTGACGACAAGTAAGAAGCGATAGAGGAGCCTGGGGCAGCAAAGACCCCAGCCCATACATGCAGCTGCTTCCGCTGCTGTTTCTCGGAGCCCGCTGTCCCCATTTGGAGCCATACATCAGTATGGAGAGGAAAGAGGCAACAGCCGTGCTGGTTGCCTCTGCCAGTAGAAAGACGGCAGCGGGATGGACAGCCAGCCAAGACCAAATGGTCAAAAATTCGTCCTCGTCTTGTTCACACACCGCCGTCGTCCATAGGTGCCACTGTTCGTGCGTCACTCCTGCAGCTGCAGCTTCACCAGCACGAAGAAGTGCTGCGCCTGTGCAGCAAGGAAATTTATTCGGACCACGTCACGACCCACGACACGTCGCAATAATTTTATCGCTTTTAGCCATCACCTTACTGCCCTGCTGCTAACACTTTTCCCTGCTTTGCCGCCGGTTTGACTGGCTGGCTGGCTAAGCTTGCCTAGCTGAGGCGACTATTTCCCGCAGGACGCAAAACGTTTGGATGGAGGCGACAAGTCATGGATGGAGTCTTGGCCCTCTGCTTATCGCTACTGCGCTTCGTCTCGCTAAAAACCAAACAGATAGCTAGGCGTCAGTCTGCGTCAGGCATCGCTGCCTATGACTATGCACGGGCCAGCCATGTTACCCATACTTTCCTAGCTAAGATACATTATTATAACATGAACGCTGACGGTTATGGCCGGGTGGTTTGTGTGGGTAACATTTCAACGAGTCTACATGTGTGTCTTTATTTGGATTGACAACTCGTTGTCGTTCGTTTGAGGAACGAACAAGCAATCGAAAGTAGGAGAAGCTAACGTATAAGAAATCCTGCGGTGAAATTTATTGTCCCTCAAAAAGATTGTTCGTGCTTTCAGTTAGCTTTCAAGAAGCAAAACTTTTGATCTGCATATAGCTTGTTCTCCGTGTCATAGGCGAGAAACATTGGCCGTCGTTTTA